CCCCCATACCGCCTTTCAAACTTGGTGGTGTCCCCACCCCCGCTTCCGTCTTCTTAGACAGGTATACCAGGATCTGCAGAATAACATCATCCTCGCTGAATTGAGTGACAACGACCTCGAGGGCTGCGGCGGAGAGGATGTTGAATAGTAGTAGGGGCAGCACACATACTTGTCGTAGGCCTTGTGTGACCCAGAACCAGTCCGGAAACTCTCCGTCGTCCACGTGCACCCGGGCTCGCATTTCGTGTGGAATTGGCGGATGACGGCGATCATCTCCTCGGGAATCCCAGCCCTGCCCGGCACCTTCCACAGCACCTCTCCGTCCACCGAATCGTACGCCTCCTTAAGGTCGACGAAGCTCATGTAGATGGTATTTTCCTTCTCCGCCCCAGCTCCTGGAGCCGGCGCACGACGAACAACATGTCGATGGTAGACCGCCCAGGCCGGAACCCGCACTGTTCCTCCGGGAGGATATTGTTGGTTTCGCAGAAGGCGCTTAGGCGGTTGGTGATTATCTTAATGAGGACCTTGCCCAGGTGAGATAGGAGTGAGATCCCCCTGCAGTTGTTGCAGTTTGACCGGTCACCCTTCTTGTATAGCACTCTCGTCGTTGCGTCCTTCCACTCTTGGGGGATCCCTTCTCCCCTCCGCACCTTTTCGAGGATGGCATGGAGGCGCCCCAGTACGATGGGTTCGTCGTCATCGATCTTGAGCAGCTCGGCAGGCAGGGAGTCATGGCCGGGTGCCTTCCAGTTCTGCAGGCCGTTCGTTGCCCGTTCCACCTCCTCGAGGTCTGGCGCCGCTCTCAGCCGTCGAGTGGCACAGGTCGTCGGTCGCTGCGTCACTTGTTCTGTGATGTCAGGGTGGGGGACTTGGTTGTGAGGAGGGTGCCGAAGAATCTCTCCCGTCGCTGGAGGAGGCCGTTCTTGCTCTGAAGCAGCACGCCATTCTCGTCCACAACGGGCAGCTGTCCTCCCCCTTGTTTCCCACTGAGCCCCACCGATCTCTTGAGGTGTTGGTAGAGTCCTCTCATTTCGCGGTCCTTGTACATCCCTACGATTTCCGTCACATATCTGTCGAGCTGGACCTATATTCCCGTTTCGACTGCTGAAGCCACTCCCTTACACACTGCTTTGAGGGCCCTCCACGTTGTGGTGTTCCAATTGTCCTTCGTCGCTGGCCGCGCATCCGGCCGCTTGGTACGAGCCTCCTCCAACACTGCTCTTGTCTCTGGGGTCTCACACCACTCCTGCGTGCGTTGTCTCCGCGGTTCCTCGAGTAGTGTCGCCCTCGCCGCTTCGAGGGGAGCATTGGGGAACTCGGTGGCCTTCTCCGGGGTGGTGATCGCTCGTTCGCCCTGTCGTTGGTTGAGGTTGAGGAGGAACCGCTCAGTCACTGCCCGTCGCGTTGCTTCGACCTGCAGTTCCCGTCGGTTGAACTGCTTCTGTTTTGGTTTGGCCCGAACTGCTCGGTTGTGGGCAAGCCTGCCGCCGAGATTGACGGTGACTTTCACCATGTTGTGGTCTGAGTCCGCCTTGGCTGGGAATACCGGCTGGGGGATGGCAACCACGTTAGACACTCGGCCGCGGTGTGCAGGATGCACAGTAGTGGAGGTGCTTTCCCTAACGCACCGTTGTGTGTGTGCCATATTCCGCCCTTGCTTGCCTCGGAAGTGTTCATGAGTGCTAGCTTGTTTCCCCTACGAAGGTCAGCAGCAGTCTTCCGTTCTCGTTCAGCTCATCACGTCCATGCTTCCCCAAGACTCCCTCGTCCTGCCCGTCCATCCTCTCCCCCGTCCGTGCATTGGCGTCCATCAGGATATACACGCACTATTTGGAGGGAATCCTCCGCACGAGACTGTCAAGTTTTGCAAAGGACTCTCCCTCGCTGTTGGCGGTGAAGACCTCGGGTGGGGCGTACGCCGCAACGAAGTTGACCACTCCGTGGTGACCTGCCATCACAAACCCCATGGCCATAAGGTGTTCATTGGTGTATTCCGCAGCAACCGTGGAGGTCTTGACACTGACCCTTTATTGGCTAATCCACATTCCATGGGATCCACTCTTCTCCTTGCCACAGCAGAACACTCGGAAACCCGCCGCTGTAGATTCCGTTTGCTCTTTCTTCGGTGTCTCCTTCATTTCTGTTACCGATACGTCTTGCTTCGCTGCCTCGTGCAAGAGACTGTAGGCCCGCCCGCACCCATTCGCCCCGTTTACAGCCATAGTCCGCACCTTCCCGATTGCTACCCGAAGAAGTCGACCCTGCTGTCGCTCTCGGGCGGTGTGCTACTCTATCAGCTAGCCTATGCGTCGCCCTTCCCCTCCTTTTCTGTCGTTCTTATCGCCTTGCGGACTGTCGGGCTAACGTGAAAGTTATCCCGGTAGTTGCCTTTACCGGAGAGATGTCTTCTTGTCCCCCAGCGATGCGGCCCTCCAGCTCTGGACTTTTCCTTTCCCCTCTCTTGTTCCCCACCCCCGATTAGCCGTCGGGGTTAGGTTTTCGTCGCTTGGCAACGACGTTGTAACACAAGCCGATCGCTTCGTGAGCTTGACAAACAGGTCCCGCTTTTGTTGTTTGCCTTTGGCTTTTTCTTGCGGTAACCACAGTCGTGGTCAAGTAGATTATATTGTGCAGGGTCGAGAACGCTCACTCCGCGGAAAGGGGATGATGGCACGACGTTGTGTTGGATTGGTCAAGCATCCTCGAGGCAGTTACACAGTGCTTACACCTGTCTCTGAAAGTGAAAGCACCAGAGAAGGAAACAAAGTCATACGCAGCTGTCATCCGTACGCAAGAAAGGAAGCACAAGATGCCGAACACCCTGTTGGTATATTCAATGTCAGTCATTGATTTTTGTACTGCTGTAAGCACAGCACGTAGGTAATCACCGTAAGAGAATTCGGTAGATTATACACAGCTATGGAGAATTCTGTAGATTATGCACTTACGCATATCATTTCTAGATCCGTTCTAGAGGTCGGACTAGCCGCCTATTTCTAGAAAGCGGGATGTTGAAATGACCCGTGTGTGTGCATCTTTCTGTGATAGCTTGGAGGCTCGCCCCCTGTGGTGCTCGCCCCCTCTCGATCACTCTTCTTCTTTTCCTTACCTTTCGGCCAACTAAGAGCCACTTCAAACCATCAATCTGGTCTTTACACAAGTGTACTTAACAGTCACACGTGAGCCTCTGCACACTGTTTCTACACAGTGCTTGCCACATCCAGGGATACACCCATCACGAGGTTACATCCCAACAGGTTATTCGCCTTCGTTACTTCACGGCAAGAGGGAGCATCAGCAGCAGCATCGACTGTTCAGCAGCGTCGCGTACAGCCCAAGAAACAGGCGCACCGCATCGAGTTCCGAAGAAACAGCTGGCCAGCATTTTCTTCTTCGGGACGGCACGTGAAGACTTCCATCGAGTTCGTCGGTTCTTCCACGGCTTCATCACGGATCGTCCACTTCACGTTCTACACGCTCTATCTACAAGCTACCCTCATCATCCACCCGATCCAGCGGGAGATTTCAACGTTCCGCATTTTTCTGCGGAGTTTTTTCTAGAAGAAGAGCGCCTGGGTTCGACGGAACACCAGGACGACGAGTTAATCACACCGTCTTTCGGCAAGTTCTTCAGCAGCTTCGCCACTACATCGGGACGT